CCTCCTCACCACCCGTTTGGATCACTTGTTGTTCCCTTGTGCCTGGGTTTGTTAGCACCACTTCCTTTCCCCTCACCTCTCCCTCTCCCATGTCCCCCCCGGAACTGTCAGTCCTGTTGTTTCTCCTCCAGATTTTTCATCCAGCCTACCTTATTTAGATAATACCATGCACATAAACATGGATAGAGTAAAACAAAGCAACAAAACAAAATGACAACAAAAAGCCAATGACAACTAAAAACAAAACAAAAATCACACAACACAACAACAACAACAAAGAAAAGCCTGTAGTTAGTCCAAGGACTATTTGCTGGCCTTTAGGAATGTTTTCTGGTCGAGTCTGATGGGGTGCCAAGCCCTGTCCCCAAAGTCTATTTTTGGTCTTTCCTGGGGACTTCGTTGCTGTTCCCCTTACTGTTCTGTTGCACACCCTTAGTGTTTTGCCTCAGTGTGGTGGGATCAGATGGATGGGCGCAATTCCCACACTGTGTCTCCAGTGTTGTCCCCTGTAGGGCTATGGGTCAGTGAGGGATGTCTTGTCTCATAGTGGGGCCGGCCATATGGTCTTCTCTGTGCATTGGCTGCTCTGAGCAGGGATATTGTCCTCAAGGCTTGGTGGGCCACATGTGCTCCACTCTCTCTTCCTCCTCCTTCATTTGCTCCCCTGTACTCTGATCAGACATGTCCCTCTCCCTCAGCTGCGGCTTCGGTGCAGTCCTCTGAAATAAATTCTTCTGGGGGAGGGGCAGCTAGACATTTGCTTTCTATTGAGCCCCAGGTATCAGCTCCTCTTTTCTATCTTCCCCCTGCCCCCAACCTTTTTATTGCAGATTGGGTGAACATTTGAGAGCAGATCAGTTCCCCTCAACAGCTCATAAACATTTTGCTTCCTGCCACTGCAGTCCGCACAATGTAACAACACGTATCCCACTTCCTCCTGGGTCTCCTGCTTCTGTTCCTCTTTCCTAGCCCTTTTACTCTGTCCTTGGATGAACGCTGCCCTTTTGATCTCAAATGGTCGATTCCTCTACAGTGTTCATGCTTTACTGATGTTATTGTTCTCCTTATGAAACCGGACTCACTACCATTGACTTCATTCTGATTCATGGCAACCCTACAGGGCGGGGTAGAACTGCCCCTGTGGATCTCCAAAGCTGTCTTTGTAAGATTCCTATGACCCCCCCTCATAGACCTGTCTATGTTTGGCTGCAAACAGAGTCATGGGGGTGGGTTTATTTCAAGACCTGAAGCGTGATTAAGGACCATAGCCTTCAGGGTCCCACCAGTCTCTATTTAGTCAGTAAGCCTGGTCTTTGTGGCCATGATTGGTCATTTTTAACAGGGGTTCTCCCATTGAGACATGAGATAGTAAGGATCATATTTTTTTCTTATGTGTGTGACAGTTTTTTTCAAGGTGTTTCTTGTGAGATGATTCAAGGGGGGAGCTTGGAGAAAGGAACTTTGTAGTCACTTTGAGAATGCCTCACAATACTGATAAATATAGGGATTTATCTTATATGCCCACCACAACCTTCTGGCATAGGTTCCATAGACAGACGGACAGATGGACGGATGCCATTGGCTGACTCTGACTCATGGCAACTTTATGTACAACAGAAGGAAGTGTCGCCCAATCCTGTGACATGCTCACGCTCGATGTGTGTTTGAGTGTGTCACTCGGGCTATGGTAACACTCTTCTAAGGGTCTCCTGCACCTTCACTGACCCTCTGCTTCACCAAACATGGTTTCCTGCTTTGACTGATCGATCTCTCCTGCTGACATGTACACAGCCAGCAAATATGACAGTGTTCTGATGTGACTGATGTGAGTCATGAGGTTTTCTTTGGCTGATTTTCAGAAGATCTCCTGCCCTTACTTCTTTCTAGTCTGTCTGAGGCCAGGAGCTCTGCTGTACCCTGCCCATGGCATGATGAGGCGGCCTTGCTGCTATGTGAAATACTGTTGCACAGCGTCCAGCACCACAGCCACACACAAACTACCAGTCCAGCAAGCTAACAGCCAGGTGGAGGATAAGGTTCACTTCTGCCTCTTAGTCGGAAGAAGAGGAAACTAACCTTCAAAGGAGATCAATAACAGGCCCAGGGATCCCTGAGTTAGCAAGCAGAGGAGGCATGGCTGCTTGGAAAGGTTTGTCTCTCAACTCTGGTACTCCTTCTATGCCCAGTGAGCCAAGGGCCTCTTCCTGGTCCTCAGCCTCAAAAAAAGAAGAAAGATGTCTTCACAAAGAACCAACAGGTCTCCATTGGTCTCTAGGGAGCCCAGTGAGAAAGGTCAGCCAATGAAAACCTTTATGCAGCTGACCATGGGCATGGCGCAGGACTGGGCATCGTGTTGTTCCACTGCCATGAGGCAGCGTAGGTCAAAACTGCACAGAGGACATCTGGCACTGAACTTGTGTGGGGAGCACCGGGCATATGGGATGAGGCAGTCTCCTTGAGGGCACTGAACTACCTGCAACTCACCGTGGCACCAAACTTCTCAGCTACCATCAAGGGAACATGACTTGCCTGCGGGAGAAGACCCTGCATTAGCTGAAATGGCAGCCTAGATGAGTCAGGATTTTCTGCTATGTTAAAAAAAAAAAAAGGAAAGGGGCATATTCCTCATGTCTCCATGGTAACTTATTATGGATCTGTATTCCATTTATAGAACTCCTTCTTGACCTACCTAGGCTTTCTGATATGGGCCTGAATGTGCACTGAGAAGCCATCAGAATCAATTCAATCTCTAATCCAGACAGATTTCCCCTCACAGTGTGACCCTGCCTCTGACACATGCCACGGTGTTACCTGGACGTGCTCAGGTAGCAAGACAGGTGAAGGGGGCGGCAGGATCTCAGTTATCTACCTAATTCCCAGATCCAGGATTGCTGTGGATTGCTATGGAAACGGAGAGAAGCTGGACTGCTACCCTCGCTTTGAAGCAGCCCTGTCTTTAGGATATAAAGTGAACTCGGAAAAAGTATTGCTACAGAATCATAGAAACTTTAATTAAACAAAAACGTGAAGCTATTATTTCTCAGCATATCCTCTCTTTCAGGTCTCTCCAGGAGCCTTGGTGGAGTAGTGGTTACAAGGTCCGACGTTCAATACCACCAGTTGCTCTTCGAGAGATATACAGGGCTTCCTACTCTTACAGTCCCGGAAACTCCCAGGGGCAGTTCTATCCTGCCCTAGAGGGTTGCTCTGTTGGCATGGTCTCAACAGCAGTGGGTTTTGTTTCTTTGGCTTTGGGTCTATACACTTCTGAAGTGTATAGATATCTATCCCTAGATAGAAGTCCACACTCCTCAATTTACACTTGATTTGGAAATGAAAAGAAACTGAAGGGGAAAGAGCAGGGCTGTGGGGTGGCTGGGGTAAGGTGTCTCAGCAAACTTCTCTTAGGACAGCTTTGTTTCCCTTGGGGGGGAAAGTAGGTGTGATGGAAAAACATTCCAGAGTACAACTTTCCCTCAGCAATACAGTTTTCCATTTTCTTAAACCGTCTTCTGAAATAAGCCCCTTGCCTGTCTGAAGTCCTTTGAGAAAATCAAGGTTACCCCTCTGGATCCCACCGAAGTGGTCGCCATGTCTTCTGATCGGCCTTTGCTGGAAATCACGGTGGGGCCCTTTCCCAGAAGGCATCCAAGGAGTCTAAGACAAGTGTATAACTTAGAGAACTTGTCCGCAGACTTCCGCTGGGCCCGGAGCTGTGTTCAAATGCAGCATTTGTTTAGAAGAAACCTGTGAGCACAGGAACTGGAAAAACGTAGAAATAGTATTTTTTCACTCACCCTCATACTTTCAGTTCCAGGGTTCTGCCTCAACTAGTGTGTTATTTTTGTTTTGGGAATCTAAATTTCATCTCATACGCACCTTTTGGGATCTAAACTTTTCTCCAAAACACTGAGACTCTGATAGAATGCCGACGCTTCTAGTCCTGACTCGGTGCCTTCTGATAAACATGGGAACCCGTGTGTGGACGGTGGTTTTGATCACCTGGCTGACGACTCCCTTACAGATTTACAAAGTCTGGGACACCCAATAGAGAATCCCCGTGAGTTGGAATCCACTTGATGGCAGTGAGTTTGGTTTGGGTTTTGTGCGAAGGGTGCTCTCTCAGAGTAAAAGCTCTGCCAATGGTGGTTACCGAGAAAACAAGGCGCAATTGTAGGGGGACCACTAACACCGGGGCTATGGAAATGGGGCATCTCTGAGCAGTGCAGCTCGCAGCGCACCATCAACTTGGTGACTCAGCAGAGGGCTCGGATTGTACTGTTCACCTCACTTAGTGCCTTTGCATGATACAATAACCAGAAATCTTAAATCCAGAGGGAGGTCCAAGAATAGAGTCGAGTCAACTTTAGAGGGCACGGCCCAGAAAGACCTTAATACCCAAGCACGGCGACCACGCGGCGCCACCATCTCTCGCCACTCCTCCATCCATGCTGAATTCGAATGGCAGGTTTCCTGTGAACGCCTCAAGGACCAGGAAAGGAAACCAATTTGTCTTAGGAAAAACTCTGCCGGCACCCACCCCCACCCCCGGGCGCTGGGACCGAGCCAGGTGACAGAGGGCGCGGGAGAGAGGTCCCTGCCGGCAGAACCTGCTTCTCCTCTCCACCGACCCCCCTCTTCTCCAGCTCTCCCCTGTCCTCTCCGTTCGCCTCTTCCTTTCCCCTCCCGTCCGCCTTCCACCTTTTCCTTCCTTTCTCCCCTCCCCTTTCTCGCCGGTCTCTCCGCCTCCTCCGCTCTCTCTCCGGCGTCCCCATCCTCCTTCCTCCTGCGGTCTCCTCCCCCGGCCCTCCCCTCCCCTTCCCTCGGTCTCCTCCCCTCCCTTAGTCCCTCCTACCCGCGCTCCAGAAGAGCTACGCCGCGAGGGGCACCGGCCGGTTATTTCCTCCAGCGCGGCGTCCAGGGCAGGGTACCCAAGCTGAGCGCCCGGCCCGCCGCCCCCGCAGCGCCCTCGCGCCCCGCGCTCCCCGCGCGCCCCGAGCTGTCGCCGCCGCCTCCGTCTCCGTGCGCACTGGCCTAGCCGCAGCGGTAAGAGTGGGGTTTGCGGGGCCAGGGCGCCTGGAGTGGCCCTCCGCTACGCAGATGGTGCGGGGCATGCTGGCTGGGCGTCCGCCGAGAGCCTCCCGCCGTGCCAGGCTCCACTCCTTGGTAGGGGTGACCCAGAAGGGGGACGCGGGGGACATCGAAGGCTGGATCCCGCGGCGAGCCTGGGGGATCTGGGTGGGGGTGGCGGCTCTTGAGAAGCGGAGGGGCGCGCGTCTGAGTTCCGCTCTCCGGATGGTTTCCCCTCCTCCCCACCCCCCGCACCGGATGGCCCTAGGGGTGGTGGAGGGCCTGGCGGGCTCCTTCGTGCGGGGGGCTCCGACCGTGGCGTCTGGGCTCCCGGGCCTCGCGCACTCGGGCGGTGCCGCCGGGTGGCCAGGGGGCCTGCCGGGCAGGGCGCAAGGCTTGTTTCACTTTGCTTTGGCTTTGTTTTCTAAAAAGGCTGTGTGGGCCCGGAGTGGCTGCTCTTTGCTGGGGTTCTTGCCTGGAGGATTCCCCTGGGGCCTGAATTCGCCAAGGGGGTCGGCCACGCCGGAGGATGTTGGGGTGGCCCCGGAGTGTGGTCCGTGGGCCGCGCGCCTCGGACGCACTCCGTCTTCGAGCGAGACTTCTTCGGGTTTCTGATAGTGCAGGGCGCGAGATGGAGGCCGCCGGGATCGGGGGACAAGCGCCTAAGCTGGAAGGTGGCACCCCGAAAACGTGCGGGAGCTTAGGGTTCCCGGGTCACCTGCTAGGCGACATCCCGGGTCCAACCGGCGTCTGCGATCGAAGGGAGGCCTCAGGAGAGTGAGCTGGCCCCCTCTCGTCCTTCCAGACCATTTCGGGTGCCCCTACACCTCCGGGTTCGAGGGCGGGCGGGGGTGGCTCGCCGACGTCGATGAGGGCTCCTGGAAGCCAGGCTGCCTTTATTTCCCCGATTTTAAAGTATGTAGGAGAAACTGAGTGTTTGTGGATGCGTTTGGGGGCGTGGGGACTTAAGTACATTTTTATGTTAGTCTGTACTAAATTCCATGGTAGACTAAAATAGCAGTTGTGCTACTAATTTAGAAAGTAAGTGAGCAGGCCCCTTTGGAGATAGGAGTAATTTATTTTAATTCACCAGCGAGAGATTACGTGTGTTTCATACAGTGGGAGCGATGTGTGTGTTATCTGCCGGCCCACACTGCAAGCAATCACTTAGATAAATCTCCAAGTTAAGGTTTATTAAAGTTCTGAGTAATACCACAGTACTGTAAATGTTTAGCACCGTGTATCCCCAGGGAAATATATTCAAACACTCATTTCTGGGCTTACTCATTCATCTCTGAACTTTCTAGAGAGAAAAGGCAAAACTAACCTTTCAAGGAGCGCCACAGTTTGTTAGCTTTATGTTATCAAATCGACCCAAACTCCAAATCTGTAGTCTAAGCTTACATAACCAATCACATGTGCTAATATAGGTCTGATGTCAGGCAAGTACATTCCGTTGGGTTTTAAGCCATTCCGTTTGGTTAAGTCCCCCACCCCCACCCCTCTTGGGGCTTCAAATACAGTGATCAATATGGCGACACTTAGCAGGACCTAAACTTGAAGTTGATTTATGTGGAGAAACTTGGCATGCCTGTCACTTTAACAAGCTGTGTTGAGGAAAATGAGGGAACTTAAATTTGATTAGTTATGTGTCTGCCTGAAACCATTTGGCAAAGAGCACTTTGATTCTACAGGGTGGTTTTTTTTTTTACAAAACTCATTAAGACTGGACAACAAGAGAATTCTATTGTGTAGCTAGTAATTATAGCTCTTTATGTGGGAGTAGGAGGCTGCTTTTTCTCCTGGTATTTGTACACAAAAAGCCAGGCAGAGCTTTTCCAAAGTTGCCCACAGCCTTTCTTCTAGGCTCGGAAGTTGGAACATAGAGGAGAAAGCTGGCAGCCTACTAATGGGAAGGTGAGTGGTTCAAACCCACTCACCTGCCTGGCCGGCTGCTTCCCAGAACTCAGCCATTGGAAATCCGGTGGAGCAGGGTTCTACTCCAACACCCGTGGGGCTGGAATCGACTGGACAGCAACTGGTTTTGCTGGCTTCTGTATAGATACTGGACAAACCCAAGACGTCCATTGTCTCAGCCTTCTGTTTGAGGCATGTTTATTTCATCAACAAGTCGCCTGGCTTACTCTCTGCACATGAATGACACAGCTGTCAGTGAAGGGGGAATTTCACATCATCAGGAGTAATTAACTGCCATTCAGTCCCTCGGACTCAGAACAGCCCTAAATTGGGTTTCCAAGACTGCATTTTTTTTATGGGAGCAGTCTCTTTCTCTGAAGGATAGGCGTGGACCCTGGCTAGTGAGTGTGAAACTGCTGGCCTTGCAGTTAGCAGCCCAGTGCCTCCCGGACTCCTTTCATGCAGAGCAGCGACAAGAATACTTGTGTGCTAACTGCCCTTTAGTGACTTGAAGGAAGAGGAGCTTGTGCCCGCCACGGGGGATTAGGACCATGTACAACTGGGTTTGGAGCCCCCCTCTGCCCTGTAGTTGCATGATCCAGGTATGTTGCTTTGCATCTGGGCCACCACTGCCTCCCTGCCCTGCAAGGTGGAATACCAACTCCCTCTGGCAGGTTAGGAAGAGTCCAGGAAGTGGGAGTACATGGTACTGAAAGAGGAGCTCTCTGGTGGCTTGGTGGGTTATCCATTGAACTGCTAACCACAAGGTTGGCTGTTGGAACCAGCCAGCTGCCTCACGGGAGAAAGCGGAGGCAGTCTGTACTCGCCATGATTTAAAGTCTCAGAAACCCAAAGGGGCAATTCTATTCCATCCTGTAGGGCGGTTATGAGTCGGAATAGGCCCGATGGCACTTGGGTGGTTGGTTTTTATAAAGCTGGGTGTTGAGAGGTCAGGGAGCAGGTGTCAGTCAGCTGCAGCCATCTTCACTGATTGAGTGCCTGCGATGGCAAGATGGACAGACCGGAGCTTCCAATCCAGTGTGGCCATTTTGCATCCCCCAACAGCGCCTCTCCCCATCCACCCACTCAGAATGATGATCGTGGTCTTCTTCTTCCCCTTCTACTGGTACCAGGATCACGAGCTGCCAGCCAGGGGAGTTTACAGCTTTCCAATGCCACTCCTCTCCCAGTGCCGTGTGTGTGTGTGTGTGTGTGTGTGTGTGTGTGTGTGTGTGTGTGGTGTGTTGGGCTGGGTGGCAGGGTTAGTGGGCGGTCTGATTTAGCTCTAATGTGGCTCATAAAGAGAAAACAAGCACACCCTTGAGTGTAAATAGGAACACGAGAATATGATCTTTGCTGTTTCCAGTAAGTTGTGGAAAGGGCAGTGTCTTTTCCCATTGAGGTTCTTGGTTGTTAGAGGTGGGAACACCTACCGAAGGGTGGGTTTGTTAGGCGTACCACATGTGCCATGTTGTCGGGCCAGGGCCGTGGCGCACGGCAGAGTGAGCAATGCCCCCCTCGGCAAAGGTTGCCGTCCCTGTGCGAGGCAACTTGTGGGTGTCAGAGGACCCCTGTCCTCCATGGGGGTCTCAGGGACTGCTTTTCCACAGCACGTCAGCAGGCCTTTTATTCTGAGGCCTCTCTGGCTGGATCTGGACCTTCGCACTTCCGGTTAGTAGCTGCACAGGGCTGCACAGTTCTCTGCACTACTCGAGAACTCCTTCAACTGAGTTTACCCTGACATTTAAAAGGGAGTTTTAGTCACTCCCTCTTTGCTTAGCACTCTGGTAGTGTGCTTTACGAGCGGGCGTCAGAAACTTGTGGACACATGGAATGAAAAAAAGAAGAGCATTTTCCCACAAACGTTTTGAAGGTCCCTCGTATGCCTTTATAACTTAACCTGGCCCAGCAAGTGTATTTGAGGGCCTCCAAATATGTTTGCAGGCTGCTTACTGCCTCTAGTCAACTCCGACTCTCAGTGATTCTGTATGGGGTTTCCCTAAGCTGCAAACCTTGATCAGAGCACATAGCCTCATCTTTCTCCCGAGGGGCAGCTGGTGGGTTCTAACTGCTGACCCTGCGGTTAGCCCCCAACACGCATCCACCTACTAATCCACCAGGGCTCCTTCTTTGTTATAAAGACTGAAAACTCACTGCTGTCCTGCTGATTCCACCTTACAGCTACCCTATAGGCTAGGATAACACTACTCTTGTGGGTTTTCAGGACGATAACTGCTCATAGGAGTAGAAAGCCACATCTTTATCTCACGGAGCAGCTGGTAGATTGGGTATAGTGGTGCATAACCTATACCAAGGCTCCTATGGTTATTAAAAAAACCAAACTCACTGCCACCGAGTTGATTCTGACTTGTGGCGACCTTATAGGACAGGGTAGAACTGCCCCTGTGGGTTCCCAAGACGAACTCTTTCTTCTGAGGAGCAGCGAGTAGTTTCAAACTGCCGGCCTTGTGGTTAGCAACCCAACCCGTAACCACATGTGTCCTTGTATGTGAAAAAGAGTGACACAGATGAAATGAATTTCAACATATCTCTAGTGACCGAACGTATTGGAGCCATTCTGTAAGGGTGCAGCGAGGCTACCCATTGTGATGGAGAGAGGTCATTTTGTCCCTGCCAGGTCTGTGTGAAAGTGAGTGCATATTGCATACCTAAGATAAAAACAACAACAAAACCAAGCCTGTGGCCGCCGAGTCAATCCTGATTCTGGCAGCTTCCTGCAACAGGGAGTAGAACTGCTCCACAGGGATCTGTTTGAAGGCAGATTGCCAGGCCTTTCTTCCGTGGTGCCTCTGGGAGGGATCATACTTCCCACCCTTAGGTCCATAACACCTGGGGGGCGGCACATTTCTGTCCCCATTGGCCAGAAGTGCTCGTACTCGTGCGTGGCTGCTGCCTAGTGACGATGGAGGACGGTGCAGGCCTCGAATAAGAGAGGGCCGTCAACGGAATCACTTCCTCTTGTAGAAACGCACAGCTGAGCCACACACAAAGCCAGAAATCTTTTGAACTTGTGTGCCCAGGCCAGGAGTCTCTGGGGCGTTGCAAAAGCATTTGGGCTGAAGCAGTTGGTTCTCTTTTATTCCCTTTCTGGTGGTGTGCTTCCTCATAACTTAACCCAGGAGAGAGGGGAAGGGAGCCTTCCCAGCAGCCACCCCTGGATATAGGCCCTCTGGGAGCCGCCTATGGGGGCTGACTGCACTTGTGCAGACAGGAGGCAACTGCCTAGGCCCATGCTCCCAGTTGCCTATAGACTGCCAGTGCAGTGCGGGGCACCTCTTCCCCTCCTCTCCCTGTACAAGACAGTCTGCCTCATGTAGCAACCCCAGGAAGGCTACACCCCAGAAAGGCTCCCTTGGGTAGCTGTCAGCAAGGGACTAGTTGCTTGTCTGTTTCCCCGAATGGCAATGGCATTCAGAGGAGTCTGCATGAAGTAGTGTTCAGTAATCTGAACAGTATACCTAGTTGTTGTCCTTTGTAGTGCTTTGGCTTTTAAGATATGTGCGAGAAAGGCCTTTAAAATAAGAGCTCCTGGTGTTACATTTTGAGTTACCTGTTGGGTTGTGGGAGTTGGCTGACAGAAGCAGCCAGAATCAAGTATTGATGGATGCTGCCCGCGGTGACTTCTGTAAGATGTGCGTGTTTAAACTTACGCACCTCTGACCCTCTTTTGTCTCTTTCCAGATGAATGATTTTGGAATCAAGAACATGGATCAGGTGGCACCTGTGTCTAGCAGTTACAGAGGGATCCTAAAGGTAGGTGGTCAAGACTTTAATTTAAAAGATTAAAAATTAATGGGAAAATGCCATCTTTAGGGGAAAGAATGATGGGCTGGGTCCCAGAAAGCAGGTTCTGGTACTGTCGTTTGAATTTGCTGGGGTGGGGCTCTGGGTTCTTGGCTTAATTGCTCTGACCTCAGCTTTCTAGTCTTCCAAATGGGTGTCTTGATGCTGGCTGTTTGTCTTCCAAGATGCAGAGCCGTGTAGCCCGTGGGTGGCAAGGCCTTCGTGGTTTGTTTCTGAGGCTCCAGCCAAGGATAAAATGCCTCTGGTTCTCAGTGACGCAGAGCTGGGCAGCTTCTCTCTCTTGTCTTAGCTGCTCAGGTGTTCTCTTGAGTGACATGTGATTTCAGAACAGAAAGGGAAGAATTTGAAGAGGCAGACAGACCCACTGCTGCAGGCTGCCCTTCTGTCTGAAGAGCGTCAAAGGGCCTCTTCATAGGGAGAAAACAAGGGTGTCTGTTTACATAACACAACCTGAAAGATGAAAGATTCTTCCCTGCGTACACACGTTCCACGGAGCTCCTCCTAATTGCTTTTAGGAACATGCTTTGGCAGCACAAGCATCATTTCCCACTTGCCTTCTCCAAATGTGACAGTGAGATTTGTGTTTTAGCATGATGTGGCAAGCGTGCTTCTAAAGCAGTCCTATTAAGAGCAGCCTCCTCAAAGCCTAGTGTCTGTCTCAGGTATGTTATGCATTCTTCTGAATATCATTACGCCTTTATCTCAGGGATAGAACCAGAGAGCTGGGAGTTGGGACTGGCTCCTCTTGTGTTCAGAAGATCACTGATCTCCAAGCTAGTGGGGTTTCTTGCATGAGTTGATCAGGCATTATAAGCATGGCAGAAACAATACAAGCAAAAGAGAATTTGAAGTCAATGCCACGCTCCCAAGAACAAGTCTCCTATAAACATTTGAGGATATCCATGCAATTTCTGGACTTGGAAACGAAGCGATCGTCTCAGAAGTAGATGTGTTGAACTAGGCTGCCCAAATGTGCATTGTTCTTTGGCTTCCTGGTTTAAAACGAAACAAAACAAATTGACAGTCATGAAAGCATTTCTTAAGTCACCGGGGCAATGTTTGTGAGGATTGAATCGATAGATATTTCACCACAGTGAGCCCTGTTGTAAAACTGCCTGTAAAATCAGACGGGTCTTTTGTACTTGATTGCTTGATTCCCCCTCGCGGCTCTGAGATGTATTCCACAGTCAGACGCCTTTGTCTTGGGTTTGGGGGGCTGGGTTCTGTCTTCTGACCACTGTCCTTTGCAGTGTGGCGCTCATGGTTCTGCTTTTGTGAAAAGAGTACCCTAATCCATTTTTATTGGTAAATGTAAAATTGGTAAAGGTAAATTGCACTTTTTTTTTTAATTGATGACTCAACAGATGGGTCATTGTATTACACAGCATGGGATTTCCAGTTTATGTTGGAAAATAGACCCTTTCTTTTATTTTTCCTCCACAAGGGAGGCACCAATGATGAATCACAACATAAGAATCTGATTCTTGCGAATGAAGCTTAACTTCAAAGGGAGCTACTTTCATAAAAGTTACTTGAGATTGTCTGAAATCAAGACAATATTGAGGTTTTATTTTTCCATGTGTCTCTGCTCCCTTAAGCTGTAACTGGAAAATAGCTAAATAATTCACTGCTATCATCGAATTGATTTCCAATTCACAGTGACCCTATAGGACAGAGTAGACCTGCCCCTGCGGGTTCTTGAGGCTTCGAACCTTCGATGGGAGCAAAAAGCCTCATCTTTCTCCTGCCTAGTGGTTTGGGGTTGCTAACCCGTAAAGCTGGAGATAGATTAATTTATACCTATTTCTAGTGGCAATCTTTCCCCTTAGCAGATTTGGAAGGTTTTTTCCCCCTTGGTAAACGTTTAGGCTTTAAAACATTTGCCATTTCTTCACGTCATTAATCTTCAGTGACATGAATTAATTCATTGCGTGGCTCAGCCACCACCTGAGCTTGTCCGTCACCCTTCACAGAAGCTCAGCGTCGCTTCAGCATTGTGCCTCCCACCTGCCTCTAACCCAAACCTGTACGCACTGGAATCTAGCTGATTCCGATGTACAGCAGCCCTGTAGAACAGAGCAGAGCGGCTCCGTAGTTTCTCAGGCTGTTCCTGGGCCAGACGGCCTCATCTCTTCCCCGGGGAGCGGATGGGAGGGGCGTCTGAGCTGCCGGCCTGGGTGTTAGCAGCCTAGCACTCATCCTGCCCCCCACCCCCAACCCCACCCCCCAGGGTGCTTTCAGTTCCTTCAGACGACCCGTGGTAAACTTTGGTTCTAGATATTTCATAAAGGAGGATTATTCAGTGTTTATCTTTTGTGATTGACTTAACTTCATTCAGCATGTTTTCAGGGTTCATCTATGCTGTAGAGTCTATCAATATTTCACTCCTCTTTATGGTAGAGTGCTTATTTCCTTGAATGGATATATCACATCCATTCATTTATTGATGTGCGTTCCCCCCCTTTTTTTATTTAGTGAACATCGGGGTATAAATATCTGTGTGTATGCACCTCCTTTTATTCCCTTTGGGTATATACCTAGGGATGGCATTGCTGAATTCCAGGGTAATTGCTGGATCACAGGCTCTTTGTCTAACTTTTTAAAAATGTGCCAAAGTGACAGATCCCACCAGCAAGAGAGAGAGGTTTGTCCCAGTTTCGCTACATCCCCACCAGCACCTGTTATTTTCTGTTTTCTTTAATCATAGACATCCCCTTGTGCGTGTCACTTTGAGGCTCTTAGAAATCTATTTAGAGACAGGATCGGCTTATTCCATCTACTGCCCTATCATTGCCAGGCTGACCTGGGTTATTTCATTGAGGTTAGTCGTGGACCACTTCTAAAACGGGTCATTGGGGACGTTGACGCGGAGCGCTTTAGTCTCCTTTCTGCTCTGTTTTCCCAGCGCCAGCCAGCCTTCGACACATTTGATGGGTCCCTGTTTTCGGTTTTCCCCTCGCTGAAGGAAGAGCAAACACTCCAAGAGGTGCCAACAGGCTTGGATTCCATTTCTCATGGTAATTATTTACTCCGACTCGACAAGTTACGTGTGATTTCCCTAAGTGCTTGAGTGAATAAAGAGATGACAATTCGTTGTGATGAATGTTGATAGCCTGAACCTTTGGTATACAAAGTCAGACCCAGTCTCTGGCCCTAGGAGAAGGCGACTCTTTCCCACCAGAACTTCATTCCGGCGTCTTCAAAAGCCGGAGACACCCGAGCAAAGAAACAGTTGTGGTTGGATTGCAGTGGACTTGCTAAAGTTTCCATTGTTGATAACTGAAAACATTCCTTCAAACTGGGTCTTTATTTCCGCGATTCACTCGCAAACCAGCCATGAGACAGTCGACCTTCGATGCAGACCAACAGTTCACATCGTTGGGTAAATCCTCCCCACATAGAATTTTGGGGTGCCACAGTAATTAGGCTCAGGCCTGCTTCCCGACGGGTTTCTGTGCGCCTTCCCGTCGTGGGTTCTCCCCTGGAGCCTGTCCGATGGCGCCTGTGCAGTGACGACGGCAGTTAGTGGTTGCACACCTTCCAGGGAGGAGAACGCAGTCGGAAAATGAATTGCAGTGTGGGCTTATTTAGGCAAATGTCACGGGGCGGTTTTATCCCTGGGAAATAGCTGAGGAGCGGCCCGTAGTCGTTTCTGTTGTCAGAATTGAGCATGCCTCTCAGGGTGTAACTTCAGGGTGCTGTGTGTTCTCCTATCATGCTTGGACTCTTTCCATCATCGCTTAGTTCATTACGCATTTATAACCCATTAAGCCCTTTGATCAAACACTGTTGGTTTCTCATTGTGTAGGAAAATGTTCAGTAGACCTAGGTAGAAATGGAACCTAGGCGAAACTGCTGAAGGAAGCCAACGCACCGGGACACGAGAGCTTTATGTCCGATGTTTCTTTTCTCGATACCAGTTAAGGGGAGAAAAAGGGTTTGGGTTAAATAGTTAGACTCCTTTAAGGAATGAATTAGGTAAAGGTTTGAGATCAAAATGGGTCTTTCTTGGAACCTTAATTTTCTCACCCTAGCCCCATCTGATGCTTGAAGTACTAATGGCCCCTCGGGGTTTCTCTCCAGAGTCCTCCAACTGTGAACTGCCTCTGTTAACACCATGCAGCAAGGCTGTGATGAGTCAGGCCTTAAAAGCTACCTTCAGCGGCTTCCAGAAGGAGCAGCGCCGCCTCGGCATCCCAAAGAGTAAGTGGGAGTTAGAGCCGCTTCTCTCAGTCTTTGTGTGGTGCAGGTGGCTAAGTGCTCAGCTCTTAGCTGAAAGGCTGGTGGTTCAAATCCCAGAGCTGCCTTGGAAGATGGTAACAGGCCCCCAGGGCTGCCGTGAGTCAGAATCCACTCAGTAGTGGCTGGTTTGGTTTTCTGAGTGCGCACTAGGAACAGCATTTGACAGGAATTGCTTGGTCATGGGGTCTTTTTTGGACTTTTGTCCAGAATGTCTTGCAAAAAGTCGCTTCTAAATAGTCACATCGGAACCAGTTTGGGTTTTTGTTTCCCCTCTAAAACTCAGCTGAATTTGTAATCCAGCTCTTATGAAATGCACAAGAGAGGGAATCTGTTAACATCTTAGAATTTTCCCTGGACACAAAGGTGTCTCGTTCATATATTGATGAGCACAAATCAGGGTGACTGGCCCCAATGCCGCCTGCCATCCTTGGCCCTTCCTCCATTGCTTTTTTCCTTCCCTCTAGATCCCTGGCTATGGACTGAGCAGCAAGTGTGCCAGTGGCTTCTCTGGGCTACCAATGAGTTCAGCCTGGTGAACGTGAACCTCCAGAGGTTTGGCATGACTGGCCACATCTTGTGCAACCTTGGCAAGGAGCGCTTTCTGGAGCTGGCACCTGACTTTGTGGGCGACATTCTTTGGGAACATCTGGAGCAGATGATTAAAGGTACCAGATGAATGGCGTGACTCCTCATCTGGGTCAGCCGGGGCTGGGAAGGGTGACGGGCCATCGGTGCTTTTCAGCTGTAGGCTTGGCTGATCCAAATCGTTTAAAGTAAATTGCCTGAAAATACCACCCTAGTGAGTCAGCTATATGGCAGTGATTATAGATTTTTTTTCTTCCATTTAAGAATGTGTGTGTGTGTGTGTGTGTGTGTGTGTGTGTAGCATCAAGTATAGCCACAAGGCAATTGAGTGACTCACTGATGTGTTAAAGCCGAGTTCATCATGGGAGGGCGTGCATGTTGATTTGGGTACACAGGGCATCGTGTTTTGAGGGGCTGACTACAGAAAATTAGTCAGCCGAAAACAAAGGATTTCTTGTAGTCCATTCAATTCTGAATTCCAAAATAAATTTTCCAAAGTGCAAGTGGAACCCTCCTTTTGTTCTTTGATTTGCAGGCTTTCTAAACGAATGTGTGAGCGCTTGGCACATTGGTACATTGGAATGGTACACCAGAACGCACTGTGAGGCCGTAGGAGTTGCAGCCAAAATGGAGAATAATCATGATTCAGACCCTCAAAGAGTTAGGAGAGGGATGTCAAAAGTGTATTGAGTTAAAGTTACTGTGAAGGATCACTGAATTTAAAAATGAGCAAACCTAAATCCTTGTAGACGCAAGGAAGTGCCCCTTACTGAATTGGAGTTAGCGCACAGAGTGTCTGTATACTCAGATGGGTACTATAGCCTCAGAGACTTGGCAACCTTAGCAATCTAAGGGCTCTGTGTTAATATATATATATGTAATACATTTTTAATATATAATTTCCCCCCTTATTTTTAAAGACCACCTATTTTCTCTGAACTTGATCAGGTCTTAATCTGAGAAGGTTCTGCTGAATCTGATTATTAGCAAACCTGGCATGTTTTACAACAGTAAACATGATCAGATGTGTGTGTGTAAGTATTTGTAAGCAACTATGCACAGAAGGTCCACATCTCTCCCTTTCGAAGTCCTTGGACAAATGTGTCCCTGTGACACACTCAGAAAGCATCCTACATCTCTCCGTGCTATACTTGAGACACTTCTGGGTAGACGGTGCTGGGCCGTGAACGTCATGGGGTCAGGAACTGTGTCTGTCTGTAATGTACTGTTGCCACAGCCCCTTGGGCAGCGAGTGCTTCATAAACATTCAACTGTTTGTAGACTCTGTGAATGAGTCTTAGCCATAAACTATAGACCAGGGGTCCTCAAACTTCTTAAACAGGGGGCCAGTTGACTGTCCCTCAGACCCGTTGGAGGGCCAGACTAGTTTAAAAAAAAACTATGAACAAATTCCTATGCACACTGCACATATCTTATGTTGAAGTGAAAAAACAAATGGGGCAAAAACACCCGGCAGGCCGGATAAATGTCCTCAGCGGGCCGCAGTTTGAGGACGCCTGCTATAGACCTTTCAGTATATGCAGAATAGTCATCTTCATTTCTAGGTATTTTTGTCCTTTTGGGAAAATTTTTTCTCCTGGGTACTAGAAACACATGTCACTGATGTTTTTTTGCACCCCGCATCGTGGAACTGATGGCCACACAAAATGCTTGTCAGCTTAGACCAGCCATTTGAAAAGTAACTTTCCCTTTTCCACGTGTGGTTTTTACCTTGAGTTGCAAGCTTAGGTCTTCTGTATCTATTTTTCAGAAAACCAGGAAAAGACAGAAGATCAATACGAAGAAAATTCACACCTCAACTCGGTTCCTCATTGGATTAATAGCAATTCAATAGGTCAGTCTGATCGACTCTGCCCTTAAGGTCTTGGCTGTTCGTCTTCCTGTTAGATTCAGACTCGCTGACTGGAAGGGTGGAGACTTGCCTGGTTTGAAGTTGTGGCAGGAGATGGCAGCTGAGCTTCTGTACACTTGAAATGTGGCTGGTCTATGTGGACATCTGAATTTTGGAAGCTTTTATGTGTAACAGGAGCCCTGGTGGCACTGTGGGTTAGGTTTTGGGCTGCTAGTCCCAAACTTGATGGTTCAAATCCACTACCCACCAGCTGTCTGCTCCTGTAAAGACAACCTCAGACACTATGTAGGGTTGCTATGAGTCAGAATCAATTTGATGGCAGTGGATTTGATGTGATTTGATTGGAACCATAGAGTATAATAATGTATGGACTATTGATTGGCTATTAAAATGATGCTACTGGGCATTTTAGGTTAATAAAAGATAAAGATTAATTTCTTGTTACTTTTACTGGAGTTAGACGTATGAGTGACTCACTATTACCTTTCTATGGATCAGCGCTGGTCTGGGAAATTCAGAGAGCCAGGGGCACGATTAAGTGGCTTTGGCTAGGTTATAAAGCGGTATTGCAAAGAAGGGAGCCCTAGTGTCAACAGCGGTTAGCCACTTGCCTGCAAACAGGTTGGTTGTTCGAACCCACCCGCTGGCTCCACAGAAGAGTGAGCCTGGCAAACTCTCTCCTAGGTAAAGACGACAGCAGGAGAACCTTATGAAAACCCTTATGGGGCTGTTCTACTGGGTCAGACTGGGTCACGATCAGTCCGCACGTAGCAGCAGCACCCACAAATTGCAAAGAAGAGGGGCCAGCGTGGAAAGCAACCCCCCATTTGCTCTAGTCTTTGGAGTTTTCAAAGGGCTCCTTCCTTCGGGGTGCTGTGCTGGCAAGGGTAGGCTGGGGGGTGAGTGCAGGGCGTGGGGGATTGGGCAATGTGCTTTGATGGTGTCGGGCCGGCTCTGATTCTCTGATTGTACTCAGGCCTCAGGGTTTAACTGATGCACATGAGGGCCTTCTGCTGGGCCTCAGCTGGCCCTGGGGTTTACCAGTTGGCCCTTTCATATGGAGCCTCCTCCCTCCCTGAGCTGTAGTTTTCAGAGGTTAACTCCCAGTGAACTTGGGTGGAAGCCTGGGCTTTGCATCCAGAGATGCTTCAAGGCTTGAGAAGAGGGAGACTTGGTGGGCAACCTGCTGCAAAAGCCACATTTCACTGAGGACTTGCAGACGGGGAGAGCAGGCAGGGCTGGGCACGGGTGGTGTGCTCAGGACTTAAAGTAAGTGCCCGTGCTCACCTTCCTAAGTGCTGTCTGCCTGTTCCAGGTTTGAGCGTGGAGCAGGCCCCCTACGGGATGCAGACACAGAACTACCCCAAAGGCAGCCTCCTGGACAGCTTGTGTCAGCCCTCGCCTGTGCCCAGTGCCCTCAGTTCAGAGCAGGAGTTCCAGCTGTACCCCAAGTCACGCCTCAGCACCATCAGCGTCAACTACTGCCCCGTCAGCCAGGACTTCCCAGCAAGCAACCTGAATTTGCTCCCCAACAATTCCGGTAAGATGGGCTGCATCAAGTGTCCCTGTACATCAGGCTGTCAGCTTGTTTCTGGGAGCTGGGGCGAGGTCCCCCCATCTGAGAATGATTTTTCCCCCTCCCCTTAATAAATACATCCTGTTTTCCGCCATTGGAAGGGGTCAAAGTCCTTGTCCTCATTCTGAGCGGCTTTGGGCTCTACAGACGTTTGGTTCTTCCAGCAGACACACACAGTCTGTCACAGGCTTTGAGGGCGCCCGGGAAGCAGGCATCTCTCCTCGTGAGGATTTCAGCCCTCTCACGAATGGGGTGTTTCGGGGGGAGACAGACTTGGGCATGTGGCAGGCTTTGGGATTGGAAACAAAACAGATAAGGGACACAGCTCATTTCTTCGTCGTTCATCTTAACGAGCTGACTGCTCAAGCTTCGTCAGCTTCTCCCCCAGTCTCCACCGAGGGGCAGGTGGGTGGTTGGTTCTACCTGAGGTGTGCATGGGCTGGGAATGGGACTCCGGTATCCTGCACGGAAGGCAAGAATCGTAGGTTTGAGCTGCCACTGCCTGCCCGTTGCTTTATAGCATTCTGTTATAGAAGCAACAGTGTATTTGTCCATTCTACAGTGGGGGGTGCCCTGATTGCGTAGTGGCTACGGTTAGCAGTTCGAAACTACCAGGTGCTCTGAGAAAGAGGAGACTTTACTCCCGTCAGGAGTTACAGACTCAGAAACCCCCAGTGGCCCGATCCACCTTGCCACCAGTCAGAATTCACTGCATGACATTGCGGTGTTTTTTCTTTTTGAGTACTATTGATGGCTGGTGTGGCTTGTACATTTAATGTAAGGATTCAGTTCCTGGTGTGAGAGGAGTCACTGAGAGACTGGACACCATTCTGCACCCTCAGAGAGTGCAGGTGCACCCGCATGGGTGGCTGTTGGTACTGATGTTGCTGATGTGCCTGACACCAGCCTGCTGTTGGTACTGATGTTGCTGATGTGCCTGACACCAGCCTGGAGGGATGGCCCAGGCGCTGGTCCCGGTCACTGCCCTGAAGGACTCAGGGTTTGTGTTTCTGTGCCAGGTAAGCCCCGAGAGCACGACTTGGCCGAGAGCGGCGCAGACAGCTTCGAGAGCTCAGACTCGCTGCTACAGTCCTGGAGCAGCCAGTCTTCCCTGCTCGACGTGCAGCGGGTGCCTTCCTTCGAGAGCTTCGAGGATGACTGCAGCCAGCCCCTCGGCCTCAGCAAGCCAACCATGTCCTTCAAGGATTACATCCAGGAGAGGAGTGATCCGGTGGAGCAGGGCAAACCAGTTATCCCTGCAGCCGTGCTGGCGGGCTTCACAGGTGAGTGTGACCACACAGCCCTGACCGGAGGCCCCTGGGACCTGTAGCGAGCCAGGCTGAACAAGGGGGACTCCAGGGGATGCTCTGTGCTCACCATGCTCCCATTCTCCGCCAGGCGGGCTGGATCCCTGGATCCTACAAATGCCAGCCGTGCGGGGATTTCTGTGGGGCACGTGAAAACTGCCAGGGTGTGCTGGGCATCCCAGAAAGGAGAGAGGGGCGTGGGGAGGGAGGGGACGCTGGCCTGAGGAAGCCTTCCCAGGACCAGGGAGCTAAGTCTGCCACTCAGGCCAGGGTCGGTCAGGGAGGGGCCGAGGAGCCTGCCTCCAGCCACGCAGGCACTGTTTACCTTTTCTCCCAAAATCTTATTGTGAAAGTTTAGGCGAGCTATTCTAGGCACAGGACAAATATTAACACTGTTTTTGTAACCAAATGTTTCCAGGACTTTAGCAAAAACATTGCCTGCTGTGTCCTTAAATGGTACTAACCCCCCCCAACGCTCCCCCATGTTTTGACCATATGGAGCCGTTAAGGATTAAAAAACAAAATTTGATTGGTTAAAATAAGAATTTGTAGCCATCCTTGCCCCCCTCTTTTTCCAGTCTGTAAATAGGTTAGTAACGAATACAGACTGATGGAACCTTGGAGCCCGGGAGCCCGCCACAACACAAAGTCCACTTTTCATCCGGTCAGCCCCTCTGGCCATGCGACCGGCTGTTCTACCATCGGGGTAGAACGGAGCACTGCAGGGTGTCCAGTGGCTGTTAGGTTTGGCTTTTTGTTTGGAAGTGGTTGCCAAGGCCTTTGTTCGAAGGTGAATTGCAACCCCCCAACCAGCCCGTCTGTGAACAGCCAGTGTTCCGCCTCCCAGGGCATCTGCCAGCTGAGGGGGCGGCTGTAGGAGGTAGACTGCTCTCCCCCAGGGATGTAGGTGACCCAGCTGGCTGGGTCCTGAACACACTGCAGCTGCTCTTAGAGGGGCGCCATCGGGTTTGGGGGTGGCTGTGTGGTGGCAGGAGATGGGGGTGAGCTGGAAGACAACCAGGTGTAAGTGTATGGCCCTGGGCAAGGGGCCTCCTCTCCAGTGGCTCTTCCTCCTCTTGGAAAACGATGGCTGCGAACACTAGCCGGGAAAAGGCACACGGGGAGCGCTTTGTCAGGCACCGTTTGCCTAACATGAATGTGGGGGACGGGGGTGGGGGGGCACATGAGCGTGTTGCCCCTGGTGGCTTGCCGTGAGAAAGCCCACATCAGGGAGGCCGAGCAACCAACAGCCGGGGTCTTTCCACATACTAAACACTCTGGAGGATATGTTTCCTTGGTTGCCCCTATCCCGTTGCAGTAGAGTTTCTAGAAATAAATGGTCAAGGCTTTAGCAGAAGGAACCAAACCAACAGGTGTTGCTTGTCGTTTTTGCAGAAAGCCCAGAGCCAGGCATCCAGGGGACATGGCCTCAACTGATTGGGCAGCTTCATATTTAGTGTCCAAACTCATCCCATTCAGCCCCCGGCACCTGGAGTTGCACCTGTGGGTTGGCATTCAATTCAGAGAGTTGAGTTGCAGCCTTCAATCAGCATGTTTAATAGGATGACTTTGAGAGCCCAAGGCACCATCGTTACAGGTCTAGCTGCTAATCGAAACGGTGGTGGTTTGAGGCCACCCAGCAGCTCTTGAAGAGAGAGACCTGCATCTGAGTCCTTTCAAAGGTGGCAGTGACGCGTTAGAATGACTAGTCTTGGGATCCCTGGGTTAAGGATACAGTTAAACCCATGGCTGCTCACAGGAATGTCGTTTCAAACCCACCAAGGGGTGCCTCAGAAGATAGGCCTGGCCGTTGGCTTCTGGAGGGCTCAGTCCTGAAAATCCCACGGAGCAGTTTCACTCTGCACACATGGGGGTGGGGGGGGTGGGTGGTAGCTGGTCAAGGCCTTGCTCTATTTCACAATGATGAAAATTGGTGGTTCCCCTCTCGCCCGCCCAGGAAGTGGACCTATTCAGCTGTGGCAGTTTCTCCTGGAATTACTCTCGGACAAGTCTTGCCAGCCATTCATCAGCTGGACAGGGGACGGATGGGAGTTCAAGCTTGCTGACCCCGACGAGGTAAGGTCAGGCCTGGGAGACCCCTGGACTCTGAGCCCTTGATTGCATCCTGTTGGGCTCTCACACGCAGTCCCTGGGAATCAGAGAGGTATTGATAGGCATTTTGACGGTGTGTCCTGGGGGTGCACGTGGGCCCTGAGAGAGCATCACCATCTCACCCCTGATTCTTAAAAAAGCCCACACTTTGAGCCGAGACCTTCTCCAGCCCCAGAGGCTAATGTCTCAGCAAGTCACCTTCCTCCAGCTGCCTTCCAGCCGAGCAGGGCTGGAACGGGCCCTGGTGGGTCGGAGCCAGGCACCCTGCCCCGGGGCGGAAGGCCAAGACGGCTCCCCCTCGGAATGAAGGCAGGCCTTTCATCTCTGGCTTGGGGGAAGCATCATCTGTCACCTCTGATTCTGTTGGGACAGGAAGGTTGAGGACCGAGTCCTGTCATGTGGCCGCTGTTAACGAGCTCTTCCTGTGAAGCACCCAGGGGGCAAGACCCCAGCAGCCTGTCCTTTTTGTCTCTGGGGCAGCAGCCCTCTGCGGCAGGAGATGCCTGAGCCCAGGATGGCCAGTGCTGGGTGTGGTGTGTCCCGGTCCGTCTGCACCTCAGGGACAAAGATCTATGGTCTTGGCACATGTATTAAACCAGAGTGCTTCTGCGAGCTGGTGTGGTTGTCACTTCTCTGGAATTGGAGTCGTCAGCAGGCGAGCAATGTCGTTAGTCTACTCCGCCGGATGTTTCCTTCTGCCTTGAAGTTCATGCCTGTGTTGCTTTGTGCTCCCCAGGTGGCCCGCCGTTGGGGGAAGAGGAAAAACAAGCCCAAGATGAACTACGAGAAGCTGAGCCGCGGCCTGCGCTACTACTACGACAAGAACATCATCCACAAGACGTCGGGCAAGCGCTACGTGTACCGCTTTGTGTGCGACCTCCAGAACTTGCTGGGCTTCACGCCGGAGGAGCTCCACGCCATCCTGGGCGTCCAGCCCGACACAGAGGACTGAGACTGGCCAGACTGCCTGAGCGGGCCCAGCCCCGTGTGACTGCGATGGGAAGCCCGTCCCGACCGCCGCTCCAGGGACCTTGAACCGAAGGGATTTCATATGTCCAGGACCATCGCTGAGACGCAGCAGTCTTCTGCCTCCGAAGCCGTGGCCCTCCGGTCAGGCCGTCCGGCTCGCATGCGGGAAGGCAGGCAGCAGGGTAGCTCGCTTCACGGGTCTGCCGACAGCATAACACAATTGACGCAGCCAGCTCCTTCAAGGCGGTTATGAAAGACCCACCGGGAAGCCGTGCAAGCTCAAGGCCGCCCCGTGTGCGCCCGATTGTGCAGCTACGCTCTGTTTTGCGAGGAGAGCACCTGGTGCGCGTGCTGCATGCGCACGCACGGACCCGTGTGGGTTCGTGTGGGTTCTCTTTTGCCTCTGGCGACAGGGAATAGCAGAATGCAAACGCGTTCTCTTCGCTTAGGGAGGGGTGGGAAGAAAGGATTCACGCCATTTCAGAAGTCAGTTCTGTATATATTATTGTTATCTTGTCATTGTGATCAAAAGCCTCTACCAGTCCTATTTAACAGAAATTGTATATTGTAATTTAAAATAATATAACTGTATTTCCAAGAATGCAAGACATCCGGTGTTTATTCCTTTTTTTTTTTTTTTTCTAGTAGAACACACAAGGTTGCATCTGCCTAGGATTGATTAAGAGAAATTGTAAAATGTTTGTTTACACTTAATCTACCTACAGGAGTGAGATAGAAGGGTTAATCCCTTCAGTTTTTCTTTATTTTTTTTAATGCCATGGGTTATGTGGCAAGGACTTTGTACATTTGGGACTTTTTACCAGAAACTAATGGCATATTCTCTGAGGGGGCCCACCTGCCTCCATGTGGTTTCTTTAATTGTAATGTAAAAGTAAATAGTTACAAAGCAGTATTTTTCTTGACAAATGGCATATGTTTTCCACGTCCATGCATGCCTTTAAGTCAGTTTATACACAAAGCTTATTTTATTTTTCAGTTTTGACTGTGTTCTTCCAGTGCACCTACCCCTTGACCTGCCGTCTCCTCCCCCTGCCCTTGATTATTCTGTATGGTTAAAATAAGAAAACTATTTTTGGAAACATGCAACTCCTTTTCAGCGATCAGGAGGGATTTATGTAGCAGCTATTTTTACTGCAAAAGTAATTCACTGGAAAAAAAAATGTAATTTGTAAGAAAGCTTTATTTTTATCTCAGCTCCTTGTAAAGTTAAATATTATAACAGAGCTGAAGGTTCCGGGGTGGGGGCGGGGGAACCTTTATTAAACCTCTTGAACATAAATGAAGCAGGGCTCATCCGGTCATTCATCAGTCGTGTTTTAGGTAACATACCCCACCCCTAGGGTGTCAGAACTATGTTTTAGAGGATTTTTCAATGACTGGAGTTTTTGTTTGTGTTTTGTTTTTTTTTTCAGAATTCGGTTGCCAGGACTTTTTTTCTTAGACTGCTAACCTTTCGGTTAGCAGCTGCAGCTGTTTCAGCAGGACCCAGGGATTCAGGATCACATACCAAGGAGCTTGTAGAAGTTCAGGGGAGAATTCCATAGCTTCTAACTCCATTATTTCCTGAGCAATTTTTAGAAGTCCCCTTGTTACTGTTGCTGCTTTTCTGCCTGTACACGGGGAGATCTTTTTTGTTATTCCCCCGGACACTGCTGCACTACGAGGGGGAAGAGAGAGTAAACAAACAGGAAGGAGAGTGCACAGCAATAGTTCATTTAAAGAAAATATTTTGTTTGTGGTGGAAACATCATTACTTGCTTTAGAGGCACTCCTGGCCAGCCGTGTGTTCCTGACCTTTAATAAACTATCGGCTCTGGTTGGCTTCGGAGTTGAACTGGGTTTTGCCAGCTGCCACAGACAGAAAGCTTAAATCTGCTGGGGTGATGATACGATACTTGGGGTGGTAGGGCAAGCTGGGAAAAGCCAAGCGAATACCGGGGAGACTCCTGATGGGCCCACACCAGACGACCTGTGGTGTGTGTAAGCATAGGGTGTGTTTTCAAAAGCAGGATGTATTTATCACTCACACATCTGTTGATCACATAAACAGACACAGGACTCGGAACATTTTTCTGCCAAAAGAAATCTTAGCCATCAATTCATTATGTATTGGACGGAGCCATGTGAAATTGCTATTCGTCAACCTTTTTTTTTTTCCTAATGTTTTTCTCATGAATCTACAAAACCTGGCAGTTTTTTATCATTCAACCTAATAGTTGTGGAAACTAAGGTGCATTATAAACTTTTGGCATGGTAATAAACATCTTGTGTATGAACAGTTTGTGATTCGGTCCTTTTCTTCGGTCTCAACGTTTTGTTTACCTAAACTCCCAGAAATCGTTCGCATTCCTCCCCGCCTCTGACATGGAGGAGGTAGAATAAGGATATTAAGCCCTGATCCAACTTGGCCACCTTCATCGAGAGTCGAACCTCCACTGAACCGATTTGACATCCACGTCTGCCACCTGTCAGCCCGTCATACTGCAGTCACTTGTGAGATGCTGGAAGCTGGGCCGCTGGTCACCCTGATACAGATGGTCACCCTCCGGGCAGCATTCTAGCCCAAGAGTTAGAAGCACCTGCCAGTCTACTCATGTAGTCAATGCTAACTGGATCCCAACAGAACCGTGTCCAATATAGTTCTGGAGTGAGCCTCCTAGGTTAGAGGGCAAATACACAGGCCACAGGCGTGGGCTGGAGCCACTAAGGGTGCTGAACATGACCCAGAAATGGGCCACGTTTTCTTCTGTTTACAGCATCTCTAGGTTGTCAGTGGGTCGTGACAATCAAATCGAGTAGTAAAGCATAGCAGATGAAGCAACTCAGCCCTTCCTGAAGTACACCTGGAAAACCCCAAAAGGGATTCTAGTGGAAAGATTCAGCTGTGTGTCCTTGTGAGGCATTTGACAGAAAAGTGAAACCCCATCTTGCCACCATGAGTCAGTTTTGACGCAGCAACCCTCGGTAGGGTTACCAAGGCTTTACATCGATACAGACGTGGACAGCCTCATCTTCCGCAGAGATGTTTTAGGATGTTTATACTAAGTTGTTTTGAGGATGTGCGGTTCAAGTGTTTCTTTAACTGAGTCCACATCCCTGTCTGACCTCTCAAGGAACTCCTGACATTGCGGAGATAAAGGTCGAGTTGCTGATCCCATGACACCTGTTCTCCAGCTCCACATTCTCAGGATTACTCTTCAAAGTAAGTGCCGGCATCTAAGCTTGTGTTCATGCAAGTTATCTGCCCTTGTGTCCGGTCGTGTGCTGGAGTCGGGGTGGGGCGGGGTGGTAATGAGTACACCTCTCTTCCAAACCTGGCATTCCGTGTTAACCTGACCAAAACATCTGTAGCCACTGAAGCCCTTCCAACTCAGAACCTTCAGCTGACAAGAGTAGAATTGCCCCATAGGGTTTCTAAGGCTGGAAATCAATGCCAGCAGACTGTCACATCTTCCACAGAGTGACTGGTGGAGCCTGGCAGCTGAGTGCTTCACCAGGGTACCTAGTGACATGTGCATACCCTGAGATACACCACAATGAGTATTTACATCACAGAAACCGTCAGATACCGCTTCTCTACCCCAAGAAGCTGGTTGTTTTAACAGCAGCACATCGTTGATGGCATCTACCCGTATTTACCATATTAGAATTTAAGATACTGACGTAGAAATACTCTTCTTGATGACATCAACAGCATTGTGTCTTATGAAAAAATACTCAAAAGTGGATGCTGTTGTTTATGCTGTTTTGCAAATTTTTTTCATTCTGGAGCCTCCTGTCTTCAGCATTCAGTCCATTATGGTATTTTACTTATTTATTTTTTTGACTGAGTACATGAAGAAAATCTGACCTCAGGTGTGCAGTTGGAACAGAGAGGGAATATTTAGAAGCTCCTTCGGATAATTTTGGATATCCTTGAACACTGCATAAAAACGTAGGAAGCCGCTCGGCGAGATGGATGGAGACGGTGACACCAGCCGTGGGCTCAAACATGGCCATGGTATGGGTGGTGCATGACTGCGCAGTGTTCCCTTCTGTTGTACACAGAGTTGCTCCCAGTCGGAACTGCCTCGATGGTGCCCAGCAACAACACCATCTTCTAAAAACAGGCTTGGAATTTTAAAAATGTGAACTGCCTTTGGAATCTGAAACCACGAACTGCCTTTGGAATCTGAAACCATTTTAATGAACTTTCATATGGTCACATTAACTCCTATTTGTCTTGTACAGTGAGTGAATCTTCTACATCTTGTACATGGGTCATTTGGAAAAATGTTCAGCGTTGACACATTTTGAAATGCAATATCAAACAATCACATTCCTTAATACCACCACGCTCCTCAGAAGTCATGGGGAGCTGGCAAACTCGTAGTGGCACATGCAGATTTTTCTAGTCTTCACTTGCTTACTGGGAAGTTCAAATTCTATCGCTAGCAATAGATCTTTCAGTTGAAGTGACTTTTTTAAAAAAAGTATTTTCCGTTTCATGATTTTTTAAAAAATATGTCTTCCAGGTATCCAAATCTGAATAATTATTATTTGCCAGCTGTCCTTCCAAGTAAAAATGATATTCCATAAAAAGTGGTTAGTTTGGCTGGCAACTCCAAAGCATAGCTTCATATGACTCTTCATGAGAACTACCATACTTGAGTATGCAGAATGGTTTTATGCAGACTTTCCACTTTAGTGCACGGAAACAAAACTATCTGTGCTCAATTACTAATAAAACCAGTCACTTGTACTACTCTGTCAGGAACATCTTGAAGAACATTTTAAATGAAACTGGTATTTTTTCTATAAGTGCATGGTGGTGAAGAATACTATGGCAGCCATTATAACTCAATGCCATTGCCTCAATTTGTGCTTTTGCACCTTGTTACAAATGCTAACACAGTATATATATATATATATATATATATATATACATTTATATATATATATATATAAAATCTTTGTATCTGTATAGTATTGTTTTTGATCTTTCAGACTCCCATAAAAGAGCCTTGGGGACCTCCAGGTATTTCTGGGCCTCACTTTGAGAGCTGCTGTTCCAGAAATGAGAGTGGTGTGCCCAGAACAAAAGAGGTGCATCTGAATGGGATGATACGGTGTAGGAGGAACCTTCTTCCTCCTCACTAAAGCAGTGCCCTTTCTGTCAGCTGACTCTTTAAGTCTTAACAGTTAAGGGTGAAGCATTTCCTACTTGAAGCAAAAGGAAGTTTCTAATGTGCTGCATTAAAAAAAAACAAAAGATAAGGATCATCTACCTGTAGTCAAAGGGATGCCCTCAGAAACCTTTCTCTACCACCTGGATTTTACCTCTCCTTCTCTGAGCTCCATTCCAATTTTAATGTTTTGATTTTCTAATTAGGAAACTAAATGAATAAAAGAGGGAAGGAATGGGAAACACTATCTAGAGTAGTAATTTCTCTTAACCTACCTCGAACTGAGGTCTTGAAGAAATGAGGTGTGTGGGCCCATGTGATATGCATTTGGCCTGCGTCCAGCTTTCCCACATCCTGAAGGAGGACAAAATTGTCTCCAGACCAACCCTGACCCTGGCTCTCCCTCCTAGACTGGCTCATCTTCTGATGGGGAAGGCCTGGCAATGGAGAATGGTTCACACCACCGACCACGATGGTCCAGAGCCACCCACTTCGAGGGACAAAGATGACACCATCTGCTCCCAGAAAGATCGGTAGTCTTAGAAACCCTATGTGGGCCTGCTGGGAGTTAGATGGGTTGACAAAGGCTGTCACAATGGGCTCAAACTTAAGGAGAATTACGAGGGTGATTGAGGACCGGCGGGTGTGTCACTTTGCTGTACGTGGGGTCACTGTGCATTGGACCTAACTCGATGGCACCTAGCAAGGACAGCATGAGTCAGAATTCGATTGTATGACTGTATGGGCTTGGGGGTCAGTTGCCTTTGAAATCACGTCTTGGATCATCATGCTCATCCAGCTCTGTCATGAATTAGTGTGTGGTCTTGTTAACGTGACTTAATCACTCTGTGTCTCCATCTGCCCCTGCCCCCCCCCCTCCCCCAGAAGCACTGTGAGTCAGCTCAACTTGATGGCAGTGTGTTTGGGGGTCTTTTTGGAAGTGAGATTATTGGATGTCTGGGGGTGGGTGAAGCTGTAGTTGGTATAAGATTGTGTGAAGCTGGTACCCCATTTTACTACCTCCAAGAGTTGCTGTCAAGTCAATATTGACTCATGATGAGCCCAGGCCTGAGCCCGGTGTGTGAGAGTTAAAACATGGCAGCACACTTGGCAAGCAGCCCCAGGGCCAGGGGGTCTGCACAGACAGCGTGGCTACTCACGCCCGTCTCTGTTTCCATCGGCAGTAGAGCCAGTCTCTGGGGGACCCAGCATTCAAACCCAATTCTTTTTCCTGATGCTGTTCTCTAGTCACCAGGACCATAGTGGAAGTCATTATAAAAGCTACCCAGGGCTCCCCTGAGATTCCAGTTCTTCCTCCCACAAAATACCGCCTATGGTTCTTGGCTGAAATTACCCACAAGCTTCCTACCCCAAGAGCACACACGGTACTCCTCTGTAGCGGCTGGCAGCAGCTAATTTAATTTGAACAGATTTGAGAATCCCATAATCGGGGCCAGATGTTAATTTGTCCTTTCTGTGGGAGCAGAAGAGAAGGGTGAGACTCTGAGTCCTGAAGGGGGGTAAACCCCTTCTTATGCAACTCTTGTGTAACTCCTGGGCAGGGTTTACAGAAGTAGAGCTCGCCTTGAAATCTGACATAGGGGAAGGACCATATTTGGCCACAGCTGGCTGGGTGACAGCTTGGCACTGGAATCGACACGCCCTTTGTCCATGTGCTGTGAGTAACCGCGCCTCCACCTCCCGAAGTCATGTTCAGATGGAAGCAGAGCCCAGAATTGCCAAACCTGCCCGTCAGCTGTTTCTGCATCTATGGCGTCATACTTTCCACACATGTAACTGGAGCTCAGCACACTCGCATGTTTCTATGGTATGGGATCAGAAATGCTAATTCATATACCAGTCCTGGAGCCTGTCAGCTGGAGAGCAGGGGTGGGAGGGACTGCTCGGAGGGCAGAGCATGCTGGGGGGTGGGGGGGAACAAGTGGGAAATGAAAAATGAGCTCTCAAGCGACAAGCCATCGTGAGCCGGCTGTGGTGTCTTATCTCCATGCAGAGCCCAGAGAAACATCTATACCATTTCCTGGTAACTTCCCCCAGATTAGAAGAGGTTACAGTACAGACGAATGCAAATATTCATGAATAATAATGAA